GTGGCATGAGACTCTAATTTAGAATACTTGAGTAGAAGCTATTAACATGAAATTTCATGACACTCATTTTGTTTAACTTACAAGGCCCTTGATTTTGTTATTATATTTGTTCGATCAAAGTTTTTATTAAATTGATATTTTTGTAAAATCGCTACATGGAGAGAGAATGTCCATTTCGTTAAAGTTCTGTTAGAATTTGCGTTTCTCTGAAAGAAACACAAAAAAATCAATATAGACCCAAGTCGTCGTATAACATAACGACATAGATCTCAAGACTTGACTTGGTGCTTGCGGGTCTTGCACTGCGAAACTTGGCCTTACATAAGTCTTCCACGACAATACTGTTGGTCCAGGCCCACCAAAGTGTGGACATGTTGGTGCTATGACTTATTTAAGATGTTATATGTTACTTGGCTTACAGCAGATCGGCAAAGGCAAACACTTTTCTCTATAAATTATGTTAGTATTAATTGATCGAAATAAATAAAAATAAAGAATAAGGCATAGTTGCGTTGTTTTGCATGTGATATCGCTAGGGTCTTTAATCTATCAAAGTGAGGCATGACTACTCTGCTAGGACTGCTGCCTCACGCCGGGGAAAAAAGAAGAAGACCGAATAGTGGACTAGCTTTAAGGATGAAGGAAGAGATTCATCGAAAAGTGACGTAGACATGACTTGGAGTGGTTCGGGGACTTCCAATTTCAAAAACTTTAATTGAAAGAAACTCATAAAATTTCAATTTCAATTGAAAACAAAGAAATAATTAGAATGCCAGAATTATTGGATGTGCTAGATGCATACATACGCCCTTCACATGACACATAGATCACAGGTGCACAAAATATTGTATCAGATGGGAACACACCCATATACCCCATTAAAAATTCTGATTTTTTTTTTTTATCTAAGAATGCCAAAACTCACTTGAAAAAGCATACTAGCCCAAAAAAGAAGTGTAAAAGCCTAGTTGCAGGGTTTTGCATGCAATAACTCTCTCCATGTTGCAAGTAACAATTCTAGTAACTCTGTTGATGCCAGCATGTTGTATTGTGGTGTGGATTTTATACTCGTTGTCAATCTATGTATTGAGATATGACATGACATACAAATGCATATACCGGTTCTGTTTCAGAACTTAATCACGTCCGACGTGACGTGCAGAACTTAATCAAGTATTATTCGGGCCTTGTCGCACTCTTGACATGAGCGATCAAATGAGTTTGGTGGTAAGGAGATTGTTTTTTACTTGCTCATCAAATAGAAAGTCTGCTAGTCTCTTTGTATATGGCGATGTTACATTTTGCTAAAGGTGAGATTGTTCTAATTCATATGGTAACGTATTAAGATGCACATGAGAGTTATGTTAGAACGTCTCGCATTGGAGAATTTGTGTGTGTGGAGTAATTAATATATCCTAGTTCACACTTAACTCATTGGCTAAAGTTTTTGAGTAAACGTGCGTTCAATCAGATATATTGACAAGTTCGGATTTGGGTTCCCTCTTGGTGATCTCTCCAAATGAATGTATTGGCTTCTGCTCCGTAATTCCCACAATGTGTATCCAGCCCTTAATTCTTTGACTTCATCCCATTTATATCTGGTTTCTTGCTTTTGTTCTTGCTGTTTGTTCTGATGTTGTTTGGTCTGTTTGAAAATTGGGGAAACTTTCAGGACGATTGGGATCTTGTTATAATTCGATTGTGTATGATACTTACTGGGTTTTGGGACATTATGCTCCAAGTCCATTCGTAGAACAATTTGGGATTAAAAAAAAATACACGATATTTGATTATCGAAAAATAAATGAATGCAAATTAGATAAATATGAACACTAGGGATCTGGAAAAACGAGGACAAGGACCACAAGACTTGGACTTGGTGCTTGCGGGTTTTCCACATTGATATGACCGAGGGAAGATGTTATTGGTTTATAGCGGTGGGCAAAGGCGAACGCCTCTCTTGTCAACTTCAATCAAGGAAGTGAGGCATGACTGCCCTAGGGATGAAGCAAGAGATTAATGGAAAAGTGATAAACGTTGACCGGAAAAGTACTAAAACTTGATCCGAGTTGGAGTTATTTGTGGACTTTCAATTTCACGAATTTCAATCGAGAGAAACATGTAAATTTTCGATTGCAATCAAAAACCAAAACGATGATTAGATCCTCTGGAATTATTAGATACGCTGAATTCGTGCATCCGTTTCTCACACGGCACGTAAATCACGGGTGCGCATGATATCGTATGAGATGGGAACACACCCATACACCCCCTTTGTAAATTCTGTTTGTGTGCTCTAAGAATGCCAAAACTCACTTCTTATTACCGAAAAAATAAAAGGTATATAAGCCTTCTTTCAAGTAACAATCCTAGTAACTTTGTTTATGCTAGCATGTTGTATTGAGGTATGGATTTGATACTTCTTGCGAACCAACGTATTGAGACAGGATATGACATATATGTGTATGGACTGGTTCCGTTTCGAGGCTTAATCACAACCGATTTGATTTTCGAGGCATAACCATAGTTGATATGGTTTTTGAGCCTTGTCACCTCGCAAAGCATGACCGTAGAGTTTTCTTGACATGGGCAATTGAATGAGTATGACATATGCTGTCTATACTGTGTTGCATGTTTTATGATATGGTGCATACCTCATGACTATTGGAATATATGCATTATGCTTGAAACATGGATGCACACTTTAGTTTCTAAAGCTGCACTCTTTTTTGCTTCATTTTATAGCGGGAGTATTGTCACTTATCGAGCTGTGGCTGTACTTACCCTACTTTATTAGCATTTTAGGTTCCGAGAATAAGCAAACTTAATTGAGTCACATAGAGAGCGATTTGGAGTGCCATGAGATTCAACTTTAGATTACTCGAGTAAAAGCTATTGAAATGAATTGGTATGACACTCATTTTGATTAATTCACAAGGCCCTTGATTTTGTTACTATATTTGTTCATAAAATCACTATATTTGGTTGAAGGTTTTGTCCTTTATTTTATAAAGGATGACAAGCTCATTCCTACATTCTCGGCATGGAATTAGGGTGTGATAACCTGAGTCACCTATCAATGTGCATTTGGTCACTTCAAAATTACAAACTCCCGTGACAATTTATCAACATTTATTCTTGTAGTTTGCCAACTTGTTAAAATTATTATACGAAACTACTATCGAGTGCACATGTGAGAGATGTGAAAGCAAGAAGTCCCGCATTGGATATATAGAGCTAAAAGAAGCAAATTGATATTGCCTAATTGGCCGCAATCCAATATCTAATGACTCCATAAGAACACTTGTCAGCAATCTAAGTTTCTACGAATGAATGCAACAAGATCAACCTTCAATAATATATAAAGATTCTCACGGGAATGGAACGTCGAATGATTTTGTACCGCATTTTATCTTTTTCCTCTTCCGAACTTCATCATTTCCATAATTTCTCCATCTATCTATACATCCCGTAGAAGTTCTCCAATGTAGAAGGGCAGTAATATGAACTTTACCAGTTAAACGAAATCGATGTAAGGTCAAAAGCCAGCCTTTTCCTCCTATTCATTTACAGAGAATGATCCTACAACGTCCATAACATCGGCATGTATTGTCCAGGAAGTTGCTTGATTTACTCATAGAGAGAGAAGCGTCCATTTCATTAAAAGTCTGTTAGAAATTGCATTTCTTTTGGAGAAAATGCAAACAAATCATTATAGACCCAAGTCGTCGCATAAGATAACGACATGGACCTCGAGACTTGACTTGGTGCTTGCGGGTCTTGCACGGCGAAACTTGGCCATACATGAGTCTTCCACAAACATGCAGTTGGTCCAGCCCCACCAAAGTGCGAACACGTCGGTCTAATCAGAGCCAAGTTCCTCAATATCTTCGTATCACTTTTTAACTTCAATTTAATTGTGGGTCTTTGCTTATTTTATTCATTAATCTTCAAGTTTTCGCCTGATGTTTCCCAATCCAATCTGCACATATTCTAACCTTTATCCTACATTGCTCGATGATAGGATACAATTAACCTTTTGGGTTTTCATCTAGCTAATGCATTAAAAGTGTGATTTTTCAAATCATAACACTGCCTCATCAATTATTTGGGGCATATGCCTGTCACAACGCAAGCCTTAACTCCACCAGTCAAATCAATGGTAATGACATGCAATCGTGCAGGAACATCTTTGAATATAAGCACAAATGTCTAAAGAGATGATCTTAAATTTGACTTTTTTGGGAGATTGTAGATTTGGAGTCAAGTCATAAGGATGCTGCTGGATAATACTAAAAACAACGAGTGATATTTCCCTTTACTGAGATGGTATATGAAATTGTGCACACGTGATATACACGGTACACCGACGATGTAAAATAATAATTGATTACATTCATTGCCATTCATTCTCTTGCTCTCTATAAATGCTATTTGCATACTCTTAAGAACACGCTCAAAATGAACCTCCCAAAGTTTAAATAAATGCACCCAAACCAAAAACTTGAAGCCTAATCGAGTGGCTTTCACATGCAATATAGCCTTTGTTTTCATTTTCAACATTATTCATGGCGGGACATGATACTGTGAAAGTGCTTGTACTAGTAAGTCTGTTGTTAATTTTAGACAATGCATGTTTATGCTTGTGCAGAAACAAAAGCTCATCCTCCATTTGCTTTGAAGAAGAAAGGGATGCTCTGCTGCAGTTCAGACAAAGCCTTTTAGACGAGTCAAACCTCATTTCTTTTTGGAATGGTGAAGATTGTTGCCAATGGACTGGAGTGACATGTGACCGAGCAAATGGACATGTCGTCATGCTCCAAATCTTACCAAAAACTACGTTACTACTGGAAGATGAATTCTTGTCTCCACGAGGAGCTGACCTCTCATACTCGTTCCCATGGATTTTTTCAAAAGCTAGTGAACTAAACTCTTCTTTGCTCAACTTGAGATACTTGAACTACCTAGACTTGAGCGGGATCTTTTTCAAGTATGCATCCATGCCCAAATTCATCGGCTCCATGAAGCAGTTGAGGTACCTTGACTTGTCCCACTCTTTCTCTTTTGCAACTGTTCCTCGTGAATGGGGAAATCTCACCAAGTTGGAATTCCTTGATCTCCATGGTGATTATCCAATGGGTGTTGTTAATGACATTCGATGGGTTTCGCATCTTCGGGCATTAAAGTACCTCGACATGAGTGGCATAAATGTTAACAGATCTGGAGACCTCATGCAGTTGATCAGCACACTCCCATCTTTATCACGTTTGAGCCTATCAGATTGTGGGCTTAACAACTTTCACTTGTCTTCTGAAAGCTTGACCAATTCTACTGCTCTTCATCTTCAGTACCTAGATCTTTCATGGAATTTTTTCGAAGGTTTCATCCCAAGCACTATATTTCAAAACATGACTTCTCTCCAGCATCTTGATCTCCATAGTTATTATCGCATGGGTGTTGTTAATGACATTCGATGGGTTTCGCATCTTCGGGCATTAAAGTACCTCGACATGAGTGGCATAACTGTTAACAGATTTGGAGATCTCATGCAGTTGATCAACACACTCCCATCTTTATCACGTTTGAGCCTATCAGCTTGTGGGCTTAACAACTTTCACTTGTCTTCTGAAAGCTTGACCAATTCTACTGCTCTTCATCTTCAGTACCTAGATCTTTCAAGGAATTTTTTCGAAGGTTTCATCCCAAGTACTATATTTCAAAACATGACTTCTCTCCAGCATCTCGATCTTTCATCAAACCTTTTCAACTCTTCAGAATCAAGGTGGTTCGATAACTTGAGAAATCTAGTCGATCTCAATCTTGCACACAATCTCTTGCAAAGCATTGAAGGAGGGTTGTTCTCTTTCTTAAGGGAAAATCCATTCCTCGAGTCACTATATTTGGGCTATAATGGACTTCATGAGGAGATATTTTCAGTGGAGGGAAATTCTTCGGGGCTTATCGGGAAAAACTTCAAGCGACTGGAGATAAGTTATAATTTTCTTCAGGGGCCTTTGCCAGATTGGTCGGTGCACTTGAAAAACCTGAAAATGCTTGACCTATCATATAATCAATTACATGGAACCATCCCGTCATCACATGGTTGGTTATGCTTGAGAGCACTTTTTCTTTCTCATAATCAATTAACAGGGAATATTCCGGAGGCATTAGGAAGATCGCAAGTCTTAACAAGTTTAGATCTCAGTAACAATCTTCTCGAGGGCACCATTCCACACAGTCTCGGACAACTGCAAAATCTTGGCTATTTAGATCTTTCAGCAAATTCCTTGAGAGGAACAGTTTCCGAAATCCATTTCTCCAACCTCTCGAAGCTAAGGTATTTAGATATTAGCTACAACCATTTAGCTATCGAGGTGGATTCTGACTGGATACCACCCTTCAATCTCTTGTACATGGGGATGGCGTCTTGCGAGTTCGGAATGGAATTTCCGCGATGGATGAGAAAGCAAGTCGACGCAGGATTCATAGATTTGTCCAATGCCTCCATTTCAGGATCTCTCCCAGATTGGCTAGGTCTCATGTCGTTCTCTGAACTGAATCTCTCTTACAACCAAATAAATGGATCTCTGCCGAAATTTCCTTCTAACCTGGGTTATTTAGATCTCTCTCACAACCAAATAAATGGATCTCTGTCGAAATTTCCTTCTGGCTTGTCTTCATTAGATCTATCTCACAACTTAATATCAGGACCTATTCCACAAAATAACAACCAAATAAATGGATCTCTGTCGAAATTTCCTTCTGGCTTGTCTTCATTAGATCTCTCTCACAACTTAATAGCAGGACCTATTCCACAAAATATTGGTCTAGCGATGCCTTATTTATATTCCTTGAATCTGAATGATAATCTCTTAAATGGTTCAATACCCACCTCAATATGCAAGTTGGAATTTCTGAACGCATTGCACCTTGGAAGGAACGAATTAGTGGGCGAAGTTCCTACATGTTGGAAGGAGAGCCCTCGTACACTCCTTGATATATCATCCAATAAGTTGTCCGGAGTCATACCGACTTCTTTGGGAAATCTAATTAGGCTGACGTCATTACACTTGAACAACAACAATCTCCATGGAGAAATTCCTGTGACTCTAAACTATTGCAGAACCTTGCTGATTTTGGATCTTGGAGAGAACAAAATCTCTGGAAGTGTTCCACATTGGATTGGACCAAGTTTTCCATTACTACAGATTCTTAGACTGCGAGAAAACATGTTCAATGGTAGTATTCCTTCACAGTTATGCCTGCTCTCCGCGCTGAAAATATTGGATCTGGCAGTGAACAATATGACAGGAATGATTCCAAATTGTCTCTGCTATATGAAAGGGATGAAACTGAACAAAAGCATAGATAAAGGCAACTCACTCTCCCTTACTTATGCTCCTGCACATACTGCGCCTGCCCCGCCGCCTTATAACACCGCTCGTGCAGATTGGAATCAAGAGCATGTGGAACAGGTCGTGAAAGGGGTGGACCTTGACTACACAACACTTGATCTACAACTTATGGTGAATTTGGATCTCTCGAGCAACAAATTGATTGGACCGATCCCTGGAGAGCTTACCTTGCTTTCTGGATTGCGGGGCTTGAACTTATCACGCAACTTTCTTTCTGGAGGCATCCCGACTATGATTGGATACGTGAAATCGCTCGAGTCACTTGATCTTTCAAACAATCATCTTTCAGGAACAATCCCACAGAGCTTTTCTGCATTCACATCACTGAGCAAACTAAACTTGTCTCACAACAACTTCACGGGGCCAATTCCGAGGGGAAATCAAATCCAGACCCTTGATGATCCTTCCATTTATGCCGGCAATCCTCTACTTTGTGGCGATCCCCTACAAAAGAAATGCCCCGGTGCAGAGGCCCCTCAAGCGCCGGAAGAAGAAGCTGATGAAGAAGGTAAGATTGAAAAGGTGATGTTCTACCTCGTCATAATGTTCGGGTTTGCAACCGGGTTTTGGGGAGTTGTTGGCGGTTTGGTGTACAAGAAGAATTGGAGACGCACCTACTTCGGCTACGTGGATCGTAAAGCAGACATGGTGTACGTGATTGTCGCAGTGAAGGTAGCCGAGTTGAGGAGGAGAATGAGAAGAGGGTAAGAGGCCTGTTCTCCATATCAATTCAGTCCAATGCTTTATTGATCTCGTGAAGTTCTTGCTTTCTTGTTCAAGCAGATTCGTCTTAGTAGTTGGCTTGTTCTTCCTTATAAGTAGCAGCCAATTTATTTGTGTTCTTTAGTTTCAAGCTTGTCCGAGCAAGCCGTCAACGTAATGGCATGGGGAGTGCAAATCATGTCATCTTGCAATTTAGTGTTGCTCGGCAATTTAGCAGTACTTTGTGTTATTATAATCATGATGCTTTGCTTGTCAATGACGTGAAATTATCTTAGCAAATTCCATTTTCGTCCTGTTTACACTTTTGCTGCTAATTGCATGTCGAGGGTAATACAAAATCAGGACATGAAATTGTTAATGGCATAGGGCCCTTCATTGTTAAATGTGTTCCTTTCCTACATTATAGTTCCTTTCTCAATTTCAAGACATCCGAAAAAGGGGGAAATTGTCAAATAAGTCTTAAACCTTTTGTACGGCGGCCAATTCAGTCCTAAACCTTTTAATTTTACCAATTCAGTCATAAACCTTTCTAATTCTTGCCAATTCAGTCCTTCCGGCCAATTTTGGCCGGCCGGCACTGACGTGGCCGTCGGCCGGCACTGACGTGGCCGTCGGCCGGCACTGACGTGGCCGCCGGCCAGCACCGGACGTCCGGGCCAACGCTGACATGGCAATTTTTTTTTATTTTTTTTTCAATTTTTTAATCTTTTTTTTTTTTTCTGATTTCTTCCTCCGGTCGGTCCGGCTGACCGAGCGGACCGGCACCGGCCAGGGGAGGGCCGGCGAGGTCGACCTCGCCCGGCTACCGAGGCGAGGCCGACCTCGCCGTCGCCGGAGTTCATGACGGCGAGGTTGAGCCTCGCCCAGATCTCGGCGAGGCTCGACCTCGCCGCCGCAACCCAGGCGACGGCGAGGTCGGCCTCGCCGCTGCCGGGCCTCGCCTCGCCGTTGCGACCCAGGCGTCGGCGAGGTCGGCCTCGCCTCAGCAGCGGCGAGGCTGACCTCGCCGTCGCCTTGGTCGCGACGGCGAGGTCGAGCCTCGCCAGATCTGGGGGAGGCTCGACCTCGCCTCTCATGCAGCTGGCGAGGCCGGCGAGGTCGACTCGTCGGCCCTCCTTCTCGGCCGGCTACGGACCGGCTTAGAGGAAGAAATCAAAAAAGAAAAAAAAAGATTAAAAAATTGAAAAAAATAATAAAAAATTGCCACGTCAGCGTTGGCCGGACGGCCGGCGGCCACGTCAGCGCCGGCCGGCCAAAATTGGTCGGAAGGACTGAATTGGCAAGAATTAGAAAGGTTTAGGACTGAATTGGCAAAATTAAAAGGTTTAGGATTGAATTGGCCGCCGTACAATAGATTTAGGACTGATTTGACAATTTTCCCTCCGAAAAAGATTTGCATGTAATCCAAATCACAATGTGAATACATAGTAGAAGGGCTGGACGTGCTAGTACAGGGGATCAATTGATAATACACGGGCTGTCAAACGAGTGAATCACTCAAATTATCACCATCGAAAGATCACCGAAAATACGATGTCGTTCTCGTTCTCATTTTCTTTTTCTTTCTTTTTAATTTCATTGTTTAAGAGGAATCTAGGTTCCAGTCATGGGAAATTTTCCGTGGTTGATAGATTTATTAAGTTGATGATAGATTTAAATACCATTGTTAAGAAAAGTATCATCAGTGCCTTGCTTGTCATGTCATCTATTAGTAGATTATCAACATTATCATTATCATGAACCAAAGTCTAAATGAATTTACAAATGAATTTATTTTAAATTTTAGAGGTATACCTAGTAAATTATTATCATTATAATCAATTTATCAACATCCAAATAATTAGCTAGTTCTTAACTGCTTACAAATTTTACAGTGTGGTTAATAGACTACTCACACTACAATGGATTTACCAACATCTCAATAGATTAATAAATTACCAAAGTTTGGGAATATATTCTTGGTAGTTTACTAAGCACACTTGTAAAATTTGAAAAGAAATTGGCAACTTACGAATTTATTCGAATATTAGTACATTCGTTATAGTGCGGTGGCTTACTAACCGTACTTGTAATATTTCAAAAATAATTGTTAACTAGCTAATTTGTTGGGTTGTTGGTAAATTCTACAGAGGATTGGATGTATACTACCCAACTTGTAACATTTTAAAGAAGATAGTAATTAAACAATTTTTTGAAATATTGTCAAAATCATTATAGTTAGTAGTTTACTAAAGTACACACATAAAATTTGAAATTAATTGGTAACCTACTAACATCCCAATAATTTAGTGACTTTTAACATTTTTTCAAACCCTACAAGTGTACTTAATAAACAAGAGGTTAATAATTTATCAACAGGACTATTTTTTGGGTTGGATTTCCCTGGGCCACCTAATCTTCGTATGAATTAGGCTCCAAATGTTGAAAGAAGTCGGTAAATCTAATCGGAAAAAAGTTCGCGTTTGTAACTTGAAAGTGTTGGCAATTTTTTTTTAATAATGTTAACTTTCAAACATGGGTGTTAAAATCTTGATTTAAATCTTAAAAACAGATGACGTTACGATTTAGATAGGACGATGGACGTGGTATTGTGTACTTAAATCCGTGCAGATTGCTCGCAACTTTTGATGTCATACATGATTCCATATATCAATACTTTTACATTTTAACATGTTTTAGATGCACATCAAACTATAAAAGTGATATTCCGAGAGTAGAATTTTACTATACCAACTTAGTAAGAGAGCCTTCCTAATAAGTCATGTATTTTGATTGATACTCGTTAATTTATCAAAGACAATTTTACTAAAAATGAGGCACTCGTGCCTAGGGACGTCAACGGTTTGGTTCCGGTTGGGATTGTTGAAAATCCGAACCGAATCGAACTGTTAGGGTGTACGCTTAAACCATACCAAATATTGAGCCAAACCGAATATGAACCGAACCAAAAATCCCAATTCGGATTGGATCGATTCAGATGGAAAACTAGATATTAAGGTTTCTCGTAACGATTTTGAGAGGAGTGAATAAAAGCATTCAGTTTTTGTTGAGAATATCAGTTCGGTTTAGATAACCCAATGGAACCAAAATAGTCCGAACCGGAAGAAAAGAGCGGTTATTTTTTCATTATCAGAACCGAAACCCGAATAGAACAAAAAATACACGAAATTTTGGTTCGATTCGGTTTGGTTCTGGTTTTTGACACCCCTACTCGTGCGCCAGAAACTTGAAACTTCTAACATTTGCTATAGAAAGAATAAGGACATGATTTCATAGAATGACAGATTTAAATGGTCCTCAACAACGATGGGCCCAGTTGATTGGTGCTGGTCTGGACAGATTCAGATGGGCCTCAACAACAACGGGCCCCCAATTCTAGCAGCGTCTTCCGGCCACTGCGAGCTTCTAACTAGACTCGATTTTGCATGGGATTTTAATTTAGACGTGACCTTTTGCTTCCTTAGTTATGTTGTTAATGACATCTTAATGGCGAATGTGTAAGAATTGAGCGCGAGAGGCTTGCATCAAAGCTCCTTTTGTGCGAGGCTCCACAGACTATAGTTGATACAATCGTGCTGTAAATCTTTCATCAAGAGTTAGACTTTTCGAAAATTGAGTGATTATGAAAAAAATTAGCATTGAGACTCTTTTTAACAAACTAAATGAACAAATGGACGGTCGTCCAGGAAATGTTAGGACTAATGCTTCCTTTGCCGGAAGTAATTATACTGCTGTTTGCGCTTTGTTAAAACATCCGTTGTCATATAGGCCCTCATACAATCTAACCGATAATCAAAATCCAATGTGTAGTACACCCCACGAAATGGATTAATAGTAAGACCGTAAGATCGAAAGTGCCATAAGAAATAGGAGAAGGTTTGAGATGTTATTGATACATCCTTGTATCGGCATTTTTTGAGTACTCCTTTTGAAGGTTTTGCTTATGAAGACTGGATTACGTGATTGGGTGAATTCTCCCTCAACCCAAAATGGCTAATGACCGATTAGGTACGCTTGTCATCAATGTAAGTTTCTACGGACGAAGGCAACAAGATCAACAATTCAACAATATAGAGATACTCACTGGAATGGAATGTTGCATGATTTTTTACCACATTTCGTCTTTTTCATCTTGCGAACTTCATCAATTCCCGATCTCTTTATTTAGAACCAATGTCATAATTAATTAGACCGGGGTCTTAATTCTTCACTGCGCTTGGTGAAAGCATAACAAACCTATCTAATAGTTTCTCCATCTATACATATTTTAGAAGTACAACAATGTGGAAGGCTAGTAATATCAACATTATCAATTGAATGAAATTGATGTAAGTTCAAGACTCCGCTCGTTTTGCGGAAATTTCTTTTTGGGAAAACAATTTTCGTAATTTGCGGTGTTCAGGGGATGGAAAATAAGCGGTCAAAGAAATTATTTTCCGGTCAATGGAAAAGTCCTTCTAAAACTACGGAAAATGATTTTCTTTCCAATCTTGCCCTCTCGCCTTTCCGTCTTTTTCCCCTCTTTCTCATGCATCCTCTCCTCCTCTCTCCTGAGTTGCTCCTTTTCCCCATCATTCTCACGTCTCCAGAGTTGCTCCTACTCCGCTGTTGCCTCGCGCTTCGTCTCATCCCTTATCTCTAGAGCCGCTGCTGCCTCGCGCTTCATTCGTCTCGTCCCTTGTCTCGTCCCACGGAGATGTGATTCCCCAGATATGGCAAGCTCGTGATTCAACGGCGAGCGAGGCCGAACCTAGCCTGTGGCCGGTGACTAGCAGAGGAATAAAGAAAAGAAAAAAAAAACGAAGAGAAAAAAAGAAAAGAAATATAATAAAATTATTCAAAAATTCAAAAAATAAAAATTAATTAAAAATTCGAATTTTTTTATAAAATAAAATAAAATAATATTAAAAGGAGTGCAAAGGGGAAAATCATTTTCCGTACCAAACAACGAAAAATGTTTTTCAATGGAACACCATTTTCCTAGAAAATATTTTCCAGAAACATTCCGCGAAACGGACGGAGCCCAAAAATTAGTCTTTTCCCCCTGTTCATTTTACAAACTCAAATAAACGTATCATCGACAAAAATATTTTGAGAATCCATGGCATCGATATGTAATATCCTGGAAATTACTTGATTTATACACACACAGAGCGAACGTCCACTTCGTTAAAATCTGGTTAAAATTTGCATTTTATCCAAAAGAAACGCAAACAGATCAATATAGAGATCCGACAAAAAAAAAAGATCAATATAGAGACCCATGTCGTTGTAGTGGACCTCAAGACTTGAC